CCGGCCTCGGAAAGCGGAGACGGAGCGCGGGCCAGGCCGCTCCCAGGGCGAGGCTCCAGCGCGGGGATGTCGGCCCGACTAAATAAGGAAAACCTGGAACGGCGGCTGGCGCGGCCCAGAGGGAAGCGGAAAAATCCCGGTTTTTGTGAAAACAAACATGCCACCCGGTGGGGCTCCGTGAGCGTGCGACAGCGTGCGGGGGCGGGGTGGGGAGGTCGCTGTGAGTCGCGAAGACAAACAGACGCTAATTAGAGGCTAATTAGGACGGGGCCTGCGGCTGGGGCATTCCCTGGGAGGTGGAGATCGCTGTCGGGGCGGCAGGGAAGGCTTCCTGGAGGAGTCGTCTGGAGGAGACTTTGATGGATGTGTAAGTATTGGGCTAGGACTTAAGAAGGGGCAAGGAAGTAGGTCCAGAGGAAGAGAGGAGGGAAAGCTGCGAGCAAAGGGCTGGAAGCTGGACTCTGCATGTGTGGCAGGGTCAGGGCAGGATGGGAGGTGGGCTCTCAGGTGGGTTGGGGTCACCAGGGACCTCAGGTGCCTTGCTCTTGGGTTCCAAAGCTGTCCTGAGGACAAGGTGGGGGGATTGCCTTGGAGGGGTTTTAAACACTGTCAAGTTTGCATTCCGGGAATACAAACAACAGGCGGCCTTTACTGAGAGGTTGCCTTGAGCCAGGGCTGTGCCAGGCTGTTGTTGTGGGTACTTAACCCTTACCCTAAGTCTCTGAGGCAGAGATAGAGTCACGGATGAGGTAACTGAGGCTTGGAGAGGCGACACGACGTATCCAAGCTGTTACAGCCAGGACGTGGCAGAGCAGGGGTTTGGACCTGTGAAGTGCCCTGGACTCAGGGTTGGCTTGACAAGGACACAGGGGACTAAGATTTGCAGACAGTCGTCCCCAGGGCTGGGGGGCATCTCAGGCATGCTGGTCAAGCCCCTTGGATTTCTAGGTGCTTCCAGGCTCCCAAGCCAGGACCCCATCTCTCCCTGGCCGTGTGCCGGTGCCCAGGGGAGCTCTTGCTAACAGCTGGGTGTGGGTCCCACCATGTGGTTTTGTAATCTTCCTTGGTGACTCTCTCATATAGCCGCCTTTAATTGGGAGAGCCCTGTGTCCTTGGGGCTTTGCTGGGTGATCTTGAGGGTGGGGGAAGAGCACTGTCTCCGGGACCAGCTGGGAATCCTGGGTGCTGTGGGTGCACTGGTCGTGGTATCGTGTTCCCTGGCCACTGAAGCTGAAGCATTTGTGGCGCAACTGTCTCTGTGGAGATCCCCCCACCCCACCTGCCAGTAGCACCCACAGAATTGCGTCAGACCCACCCTCCCGCTGCTCCCCTATGCTGTGGGTGTGGGCGCCTCTCTGTTGGGGTGGATGCTCTGGGGGTCAGGCGCAGCTCCCGCTGGTTGTTCATGCTTCCCCGGTTCCTGGTGCCGTCCTGTCCGTCGCGCTGGCTTCTCAGGAGCTGTCCAGGAAATGAAGGATCCTGGTGGGTCAGCTGAGAGACCCTCGGCGAGGCTTTGGCTGTCTGCAGTGCTCAGACCTGTAGCCTGGCGTGTATCCTGCTCAGGCTATGGTCCTGGGTTTTGGAGGAGGGGGTTCCTGGGAGCCGATAGCCTGTCCCAGCCTGAGCTGGCAGAATTCTTAGAGTGGCTGGACCTTCTAAGCATGCAGAGGGACATCAGGGAGACTTTATGCGGGCAGGTCAGTGAGCAACATGCTCTTCTGTACACCTCTGGAGCCACCTCTGGGAGATTTCCAGAGAGTTGGGGAGAAGACATGGGAAACTGGGGCCTCAGGGGCAGGTGTTAAGGTCCACTGCTGGTCTCCCAGGCCACTCTCTGTGCTCTGGGCTGCCTGGCCATTCTGCTGTCAACTCTGCAAACTCCTCAGAGAGACAAGTGGGTCTTCTCCAAGGGAGGGAGGCCGAGCACACAGACCATAGCCTCCCAGACGAGTGTCTAGGGCACAGGTGCGTTGCCTTCTGGGTGTCACCGGCAGCCTCTTTGGGGGGACCCAGGCCCGTGCCCCTCCACATGTGGCTCCTCAGCCAGCCTGAGGTGTGGCAGTATAGCTGCGTCCGGTCCCAGATGGGAGACCATGGCCTTCCAGCCTTTCTTGGGTTAAATGATGCTGCTGGGAGGTGGTGGCTTGAGAAACATGACGCACCGGCGAGTTGTGCTGCTCTGCTGTGTCGAAGCCTTATCACGGAGAAAAGCAGGCAGGACGGCGTGAAGACTCTCATGGGTCCCCCCAGCTACCCCCGCTGCCTGTGTTTGAGCTAAATGCAGCCGTCCTCTAATAGCTGCAAGCGCTCTGGAGTGCGTCACAGTACCACAAACACACCGAGAACAACGAATAACTCCTCAACCCCACAAAATGTCTGGTGTGTTTCAGTTTTTGGTTGTCAGTGTTTTTACTCGTTTGAATTAGGTGCAGTTAGTTGATGTCCTTTACGTCTGTGTTGGTGCGGGGGGCTCCCTCCATTGCTTCTGTCCCTCGCGCAGTTTGTTGAGGAAGTTGACTCCTGCAGCCCTGCACTGCTTTCTGTGTGTCTGGTGTCCCTGCTGTGGTGCTGTTGAGTGTGTTCTCTGTCCTCTGTATTTCCTGGTAGTTGGATCTAGAGCTGTGTTGCGTGGAGAGCCAGATTTCAGGAGCTCCAGGACCACTGTGGCTAGTGGCTGCAAGAGAACATTCCATCGTCACGGAATGTTCTAGACTGCACTGCTCTAGGTGTGAGCTGCTGGTTGGCTCAGGATTGGTTGCTTTGCAAGACCGCTTGGTCACGTGTGCCGGTAATCTTGGCCAGTGGGTTGCCCGGGCCTGCTATTGGCTTGTGAATGTTTGGGGTCCAGGGCTGGGCCCTACCAGGGACCTGGTAGTGGTTGGTTCACCGACTTAAAAATATTGGAACTTTAGAATCTTCTGTTTGCTGGGAGCACCGGGGGCCTTGCCCTTTCTTGCCTATGCCCTAAATGACAGGAGAGTTGGGGGGGTCGAGGGTCCGTGGCGAGGAACCTGAGCCCCCGTGTCTGTGCCCAGGATAGGCGTTTGAGGGAATACAGGCATCTGGGAGCAGACCCCAGGCTTGGCATGGGTGTAATGCAATAGACTGCAGCTGCCAGATGCATTGCTGCCTTAGGGGCTGGGGGCAGCAGAGGGTCCTCATGCTCCTGTTTCCAATCCCTGGGTCTTGAGAGCCAGGACTAGGGACGGTCACTGAGGCCTGAGGCACGATCCTCCTCCGGCAGTGAGCCTGCGAGCCCTCACCAGACAGAGCCACTGTTCACTGGCCCTGCGCCACAGGTCAGTGAGGCCCAGCTGGGTGTGGTCCCGGCCCCTCTGGGGCTCAGTTGTCATGGGGGAGCCTGTGTCAACCTGACAGGCAAGTGGCCCCCACGAGGACAAATACACAGGTACTGAGGAGGGAGCTGCTTCGATGGAGCCGGCCAGGAAGAACCGCCCTGTGCCGGCAACGGGGAAGCCGAGGTGCAGAGCCTGTGGCGTCAGGAGTTGCCCAGGGAGTGTTCCGGACAGAGGGAGCAGCCCTGCAGAGTCCCTGAGGCATGAGGTGACGGAGGCAGGGCCTTTATCAGG